CGAAAGCCCAACTTTGCTGCCACGAAAACGTGTCCATCTCTGTAGAACTGAGACCCAGCGAAAAAATAGCAATAGCACTTAGGCTTACATACCGCTTTATACTGTTTTACAGCCCTCTCTAAGCGGTTTACAGAATCGGCGTATCGCCTCCAACAATCTGGGTCCTCATTTGGGAAGGACGGTAAGGCTGAGTCAACCTTGGTCGGGATTGAACTGCTGGCAGTGAGCTCAGCCAGAATTACCTTCTAACCACTGCGCCACCCCGTGGTTTAAAGAGGGAGGGAAGAAGAAACAGGGTACTTAGAGGAGCTGTGGTGGCACGGGGGTTTAGAAGGCAGCATTGCAGGCTGACTCTACCCACAGCAAAGAGTTCGATCCTGACCGGCTCAAGGTCGACTCAGCCTTCCAGCCATCCGAGGTGGATAAAATGAGGACCCACATTGTTGGGAGACAATATGCTGACTCCATAAACCACTTACAGAGGGGTGTAAAGCACTATGAAGCGAATAAGTCTGTTCTTGCTATTAAATGACTATGCCCCGAAGACTGAGGGGGCCAGAGAGCATTGTCAGCGCCCACTGAGGGTCACCCAATGGTGATCCTCCCCCCTCAAGTTTCGGGAAGGAGGAGGACCAGGGGACCATCCCAAAACAAAATTAGCCAGGACAAACTCACTGGGCTGCTCCGGGGCTCCCTTTGATTTCATGTTGTTTTTTTAATTTAATGTTTTCTTCATTTCATGTTGCTGCTGTTGCTGTTGTGAACGCATGTGCTGCCTGTGGCAAGGTGCTCGTGACGCAGGGCGAGTTGGGGGGCCGGGCTCATCCCTGATCCTGAGGAGCAAATTCCCAAGCTAGCTTTGATCTGCCTTCGTGGTTGGCTTTGACGTTCCAACTACGAAGATCTTCCTCCCGGGGGCAATTGACGGGCCTTTCCTTCTCTGCGGTCGCTGCGTGTGTTTCATTTCTAAGCGTCCGGCCGGTCATAATGGGAGGAAGAAGGAAGACCCCCACTTAGAAAAGTTTTGTATCAGGAGTGCCTACAACAGGGTTCAACCAGGGGTGAAATGCTCCCGGTTCGGACCGGATCGCTCGATCCGGTAGCGATGGAGGCGGGTGGTTCGGAGAACCGGTAGCAAAAATCCCTGCCCACCCCCCATGCCCAGCTGAGTCGCGCAATCATCAGAGGCTTTTTTTTTTAATTTTTAAAAGCATTTATTTTACAACGTCTTTGGCTGAAAAAATGCTTTTAAAAGCCTCTGATGATCGCGCGGCTCAGCTGAGATCGTCAGAGGCTTTTAAAAGCATTTTTTCTACAACCTCTGAAGAGGTTGTAAAAAAAATGCTTTTAAAAGCCTCTGACGATCCCAGCTGAGTTGCCTGATCGGCAGAGGCTTTTAAAGAAAAAAACCCCTTTTTTTTGTTTAAATGCCTCTGACAATCTAAGCTGAGTTGCCTGATCGGCAGAGGCTTTTAAAAGAAAAAAAAGCCTCTGCCGATCAGGCAACTCAGCTGGGATCGTCAGAGCCTTTTGAAAGCATTTTCAAAACCTCTTCACCGAAGAGGTTGTAGAAAAAATGGTTTTAAAGGTTTTTTTAAAAATAGGTCACGCCCACCCAGTCACATTACCCCCACCACCAAGCCACGCCCACAGAACCGGTAGTAACACATTTTAGATTTCGCCACTGGGTTCAACCTTGGCAACTTGAAGACTTGTGGACTTCAACTCCCAGAATTCCCCAGCCAGCCCAGTCCAATTTAAGCCCCTCCCTCCCCGGGTTTTATGCACATCATACACGAACGTTGCGCTATTGTGACCGCTGTCCGCCATCTTGACTTTCATTCGCCTTGCCTTCTGGGCTTCCCTGCTTTTTCCATTCGCTAGTTAATCTCCGAACCATAGATTGCAGGAACGAGCAACTCAGCTGACAAAACGACAAAGCTCTTGAGGGGGAAGTGGGGGGAGTGAGGATGCCTGGAACAACAACAACACACACACACACACACACAAGCCCCTCACAATAAAAAGAGCAGACCTCCCTAGGCAGTCCAGGAAGAGAGCCTGACCAGGTGTTGATTTTATTACCTTCCATCAGTAACAGGCTTTGTTGGCATTGTGCGACAATTACACAGGAACCCAAATCACCTTTTATGAGTGAAATGTTTGGTTGCACACATATCTGCTCCTCTTTTTTTTTTTTTTTTTTTTAGCAATCACAGGGCAAGGTTGGCTTGAGATCGGCTCCAGCCTTACCTTTTTTTGAAGAAGAAAAATATATTGTTTCCCTCCCAGTGTTCCCTCTTATCCAGCTGTTGCCTTTTAAGTCAGCGGAAGGAGACAGCTCACTCTCCGATAACTCGCTGCAGAACAATTTCGACAATTCTGTTTTAATTATTTGAAATAATTTTAAAAAATACTTTGAATTTTTGTCATTCCCATTTTGTTTTGTCCTTCCTTTGGCCTCCTTTTATTTATTTATTTATTTATTTATTTATTTGATTTATATGCCGCCCTTCTCTGGAGACTCAGGGCGGCTTACAGTGCATTAAGCAATAGCCTTCATTCTTTTGTATATACCTGCTTAGTAGGGCTTTTTGGCCACCCCTAAGCGGTGTTCTTTTTTATACAAAGTCAGTTTATTGCCCCCACAATCCGGGTCCTCATTTTACCTACCTCGGAAGGATGGAAGGCTGAGTCAACCTTGAGTCTGGTGAGATTTGAACTCGCAGTAATTGCAGGCAGCTGGCAGCTAAATACTACTTTAACAGTAGTTTAGTCCACTGCACCACCAGGCTAGCTAATAGCACTTAGACTTATATGCCGCTTCATAGAGCTTTACAGCCCTCTCTAAGCAGTCTATAACAAAGGTCCCTAACTTCTGGACCACGGCCCACTACCGAGCCACTGCCTATTTGCAACTGAGCCACGTGAGTGGCAGGCCGGCATTTACGTGTGTACACGCAGCTCGACTCGCACAACTTGAGTTGCACATTCATGTGCGTGCCGGCTCAGCGAATCAAGCTACACACACATATGCGCCGGCCCGATGCTCATGCAGCCCAGTTCCCCTCTCCTGCCCCCCCCCAACTGGGCTGCCAAACCGCAAAGTTTGGGGACCGCTGGTCTACAGAGTCAGCATATTGCTCCCCCAACAATGTGGGTCCTCATTTTACTGACCTCAGAAGAATGGAAAGCTGAGTCAACCTTGAGCCGGTTAGGATCGAACTGCTGGCAGTCGGCAGAGTCAGCCTGCAATACTGCATCCTAACCACTGCGCCACTTCAGCTCTTTAATGATTCTATTCCATCATTTGTTCAATATTGGTAATAACTCTGGTCTGGCGGTGAGTTGTCCTGCAGCGAGTTGGCCATGGCAAGGTGTCACAGAGCAGGGATCTCAAACTCAAGGGCCGGGGGCCGGATCCGGCTCATGGGGTGCTTAGATTTGGCCCGTGGGGCAGTCCTGAAAACAGTGAAGGATCAGTCTGTGGGGCCTCTTCCAGCGAAAACGGAGCTCAGGACGGCCACAGGTGGCCCTCCCAAGCGCCGTTTTCACTGGCAAAGGGTTGCAGGAGGCTTTCGCAGTCAAAAATGGAGCTCGGGAGCCCGTTCTCACTGGCAGAGCGCTTAGCCCACCATAGGCGGCCCCAACAGAAGTGATGTCGAGCTGGCCCCGCCCATGCTGGTCCCTCCCCCCCCCCCCCCCCCCGAGGTCAAACACAACCCTGATGCGGCCCTCAGTGAAATCGAGTTTGACACCCCTGTCCTAAACCCTGAAGTCTTGCAGTCTCACCCAGGCCAACCACATGGGATGCCCCAAGCACTGTGCCAACCTGCAGCCAGGCCAAGGAAAATGGATCCTTTGGAGTGGGGGGGGTGCGTTCTGGATTTGGGGAAAACGATTGGCACCCTTCCGGCCGCCTGCAGGCTGCTGAGGCTGGCTGGCAAAGGGCTCCGTGTCCATGTGAGGACTTAGCCTGCTACACGCATCGTCCTTTCCTCCCGTAGGGAGCCGTGAGTTACGTCTGCTCTGCTGTTTCAAAGAGAGACCCTCCGGATAGAAGTCGCAAGGCAGGAATGGGCCAGGAATGGGCGGTTGTGCAACAAAGAGAGAAAGATGAAACCAGAGTGATCAGCTTCATTGGGGAAAGGGGGTGAATTCAGTCCCAGGAAAGGAGAGTTTGCAGGCTGACCGTTTTGACGTGGCAGATGCCTCCCAGATCTCTCACCCCAGAGTTCCCCCACATTTCTGGCTTTTTGGAGCAGGGGGAAGATGGTTCCGTGCGAGCAACTGGCAAGTGCACACACGTGTGCAGTTCCATTTACTCGAATGGCACGCACACTGCTCTCTTGACCGGAGCACACACGCTCGCCCGCTTCTTGCACAAATGAGGATGTCTGTGCATGGCACGCGCACCTTGCCAATCATTTCTGCGGCCCTGTTGCAAACCCATCCCGGCCTCCTAGTGGGGCCACCGTCCACAGGTTGGGGACCCCTCTCTTAAGACCACCATCACCCACACACCCCGTTCTTCCATCCAGCAGAACCACAAGAGAGATGATGCTCTGCGAGGCTTGGAGAGCATCCAAATTGGGGGAACAGTTAGCCGCCTCCTTCCCGCCTCGCATCAAAGCCAGTTCGACACTCCCATCATCTCATTTGCGCCGGGACTCTCTTTATCATGCAAAAGGCCATCAACTCTTAACAAGCCGGCTGGCCGGCAATTTCCCTGCCCTTAATGGGCTGTTAGCTGCATTCATGCACCCTCAGGGTCCGAGCAGAAAAAGCCGCTTGGCAGTGTGTAGCACACCCTCGACAGGCGGTCTCCCCGGCAGGGCCTAATGGGTTCCAGGAAGTATTTTGCTGCTTTTGCAAGGGAGAGTCCCCCCCACACCCCCAAGCATAGCTCATTAGTTGCTTGGCGCTCACAAACTCGGTTGCGGCTGCTATGTCTTAGCGGGAAGCCTTACGGTCTGTTTTCCTCCTCCTCTGTGTTGCAGGGATAACTCCAGCTTCCGAAACACCAAGATTACATTGTGACAAGGAAGTGAGGATGCACTACCAACCAGCTCCTCCTCGGTCCGGCCTGGAGACGGAGGGAAGGCGCCTCCCTCGACGCCCTGCAGTCAAAGTTTGTGGGACGGCCTGGACCCTTGACCCTTCAAGACGTCCTTTACACCCGTGTCAAAGACTGACCTTCCGGCAGACTAGGGACCTGCCAGGCCGAGCAGGGAAACTGTCCTCGGCGTTCCTCGGGATCCTTCCCACCCGGCTTCTCTCCGGGCAGCTCCTCTTGTTAAGGGCCCACGTCTGCCCGGAGGGTTTCCAGTATTATGAGGGTCTCTGCTGCGGCAGAGGCTGTCGGAGAATTGGCACCCCTTCCTCTGCCAATAAACCATTAGGCTCCTACTTGGTGGTGGTCCTCCTCCTCCTTGCGTCTTGTTTATGAAATGGGGGGTGTGGGAATCTGGTTTAGAAAGCCGTCCGAGCTCGCGACGGAAGCCCCTTCTTGGATTTGCAGCAGATCAGACCGGCGAACGCAAATGAGGGGCCAGGCTGCATTAATTTGGAATTAATTATCAAGAGCCCTGGTGGCGCAGTGGTTAGAGTGCAGCATTGGAGGCAAATTCTGCCCACAGCTAGGAGTTCGATCCTGACCGGCTCAAGGTTGACTCAGCCTTCCATCCTTCTGAGGTCGGTAAATTGAGGACCCCAATTGTTGGGGGCAAGAGGCTGACTCTGTAAACCACTTAGAAAGAGCTGTAAAGCACTGTAAAGCAGTATATAAATCTTAAGTGCTAATGTTAGTGCTATTTGGTCACAGCAGGGGTCCTCAAACTACAGCCCATGGGCCGCATACGACCCGCCGAAGCTGGCCCACGCAGGATCACAAGGCTGCCCCGCCCACACTGCCCCACCCACTCTTCGGCTGAGCGCAGGACTTGCCTTTGCGAGCCCCGCAGGCTGGAACTGGAAGGTAAGGCCAACTTTTTTGGCCTGCAGAACGCTTCTGGAGGTGGGGGAGGTGATAAACAGGGCGCACGGAGGCAGATAGACAGAGAGAGAGAGGGAAAGAGAGACGAGATGCAGAGATAGAGAGAGGGAAAGAGAGACGAGACGCAGAGAGGGGGAGAGAGAGAGAGAGACAAGAGACACAGAGATAGACAGAGAGAGAGGGAAAGAGACGAGACGCAGAGAGAGGGGAAGAGAGAGAGAGACGAGACACAGAGATAGACAGAGAGGGAAAGAGAGAGACGAGATGCAGAGAGAGGGGAAGAGAGAGACAGAGACAGAGAGAGAGGGAAAGAGACGAGACGCAGAGGGGAAGAGAGAGAGAGACAGACACAGAGATAGAGAGAGAGGGAAAGAGACGAGACGCAGAGAGGGGAAGAGAGAGAGAGACAAGAGACACAGAGATAGACAGAGAGGGAAAGAGAGACGAGATGCAGAGAGGGGAAGAGAGAGAGAGACAAGAGACACAGAGAGAGGGAAAGAGACGAGACACAGAGAGGGAAAGAGACGAGACAGAGAGAGGGGAAGAGACGAGACACAGAGAGGGGAAGAGAGAGAGAGAGAGACAAGAGACACAGAGAGAGACAGAGAGAGACGAGACACAGAGAGGGGAAGAGAGAGAGAGAGAGAGAGACAAGAGACACAGAGATAGAGAGAGACGAGACACAGAGATAGACAGAGAGAGGGAGGGAGGGAAAGAAATTGAGATCACCAGTGATGGAGCATCCACCACTTCTGAAGGCAACTTCTGTTCCACTGGTTAATTGTCCTCACTTAGGAAGCTTCTCTCCTTGATTAGTTTCCATCCATTGTTTCTTGTCCTGCCCTGGAGAACAATTTGACCCCCTCTTCTTTGTGGCAGCCCCTCAAATACTGGAATATTGAGGAGCCTGAGTGGCGTAGGAGGCTAATGCCTCCTACTAAGGCAGCATTTAACATCCAGCTGCCTGCAATTACTGCGAGTTCAATTCTCACCAGGCTCAAGGTCGACTCAGCCTTCCGTCCTTTCTAAGGTGGGTAAAATGAGGACCCGGTTTGTGGGGGCAATAAGCTGACTTTGTATAAATATACAAAAAGTATGAAGGCTATTGCTTAACGCACTGTAAGCCGCCCTGAGTCTCCGGAGAAAGGCAACATATAAATCAAATTTAAAAAAAAAAATACTGCTATCATGTCACCCAGGAGTGAAATCCAGCAGGTTCTGACAGGTTCTGGTAGCGGAAAGTTTGAGCAGTTTGGAGAACCGGCAAATACTATCTCTAGTTGGCCCCAGAGTGGGGTGGGAATGGGGATTTTGCTGTATCCTTCTCCTGCCATGCCCACCAAGCCACGCCCACAGAACCGGTAGTAAAAAAAATTGGATTTCACCACTGATGTCACCCCTAATTCTTCTTTTCTTTAGACTAGCCAGACCCAAAACCTATTAGCCATTCTTCATACGGTTTAGTCTCCAGGCCTTTGATCATCTTTTTTTTTTTTAAATTTGATTTATATGCCGCCCTTCTCTGGAGACTCAGGGCGGCTTACAATGTGTTAAGCAATAGCCTTCATCCTTTTGTATATTTATACAAAGTCAGCTTATTGCCCCCACAAACTGGGTCCTCATTTTACCTACCTTAGAAAGGATGGAAGGCTGAGTCAACCTTGAGCCTGGCGAGATTCGAACCTGCAGTAATTGCAGGCAGCTGGTGTTAATCACAATGCTATCAGTCTGCTGAGCCACCAGGCCCCTTTTAAAGTTTTATCTTAGTTTTAAAGTTGCCAAGGTTGAGAAGGACAGCTCTGGTGTCCCTTATTAAAAGAAGCCATTGTCAGAGTTAGGAGAACTCCCTGCCTGTAGGCTGAGCTCAAGCCAGCAAGTCTTGACCGAATTTCCTTCTCGTCATTTAAATGTGCCGAGCATCCTAAAGACGCTCAGAGCAAAGAGCCTAGCAAAACGCCATTGATTTTTCTTTCCTCTTTTTTTTTTATTGCTTATCTATTTGGTGGTACGTGTCTGCCCGCAGAATCACACAATCATTACGCAATTGTAATGGGGGGGGTTGGTTTCTTTGCCATTATTCCCCTGCTCCCTGAGAAATGCCCGACGCATCTCCGATGCCTTTTTTCTGCAACTCAGGTTCACGGTGACCGATGGAAGAAGAGTGAAGCTTGATCGGTTGTTAACCATGACAAGGATGGGAGAGGCAGACAAGGAGCTGGGAAAGCGTGGGAAAGAAGGGCTTTGCAAGAGACGGGGGCCAGGCATCCAGCAGTGGGCCAGGTGCCAATGTAAGCCACAAGAGAAGAGAAGAAAGAAAAGGAGGGAGGGGGAGGAAGGGAGGAGGGAGGAGTGAGGAAGGAAAGGAAAAGGAAAGAAAGAAAAAGAGGAAAGAAAGAAAAAGAAAGAGGGAAAGGAAGAAAGAAAAGCCCATTTAGAAGACAGACGATTGGTATTGTTATATGATTACTGGGTAAGAGAGAAAGAGGGAAGGGAAGGGAAGGAAGGAAGGAAGGAAGGAAGGAAGGAAGGAAGGAAAGAAAAAAGGAAATAAAAAAGCCCATTTAGAACACGGAGGAATGGTATTGTAAGGTTATGATTACTGGGTAAGAGAGAGAGAGATAGAGAAAGAAAAAGAAAAGGGAAAAAGAAAGAAAAGACTTTCTTTAGAAAGTCTTCGAAATTTAGAAGACTTTAGAAGACGGAGGAATGGTATTGTAAGATTATATGATTACTGGGTAAGAGAGAAAGAGAGAGAGAAAGAAAGGAAAAGGAAAAGGAAAAGAAAAAAAAGGAAAGAAAGAAGCCCATTTAGAAGACGGAGGAATGGTATTATAAGGTTATATGATTACTGGGTAAGAGAGAAAGAAAGAAAGAAAGAAAAAAGAAGAAAGAAAGAAAGAAGCAAGCCCATTTAGAAGACGGAGGAATGGTATTGTAGGGTTATATAATTACTGGATAAGAGAGAAAGAAAGAGAGAGAGAAGGAAAGAAAGAAAGAAAAAAAGAAAAGCCCATTTAGAAGATGAGGAATGGTATTGTAAGGTTATATGATTATTGGGTAAGAGAGAAAGAGAGAGAGAAAGAAAGGAAAAGGAAAAGGAAAAGAAAAAAAAGGAAAGAAAGAAGCCCATTTAGAAGACGGAGGAATGGTATTATAAGGTTATATGATTACTGGGTAAGAGAGAGCGAAAGAAAGAAAAGAAAGAAAGGAAAGAGAAAGAAGGAAAAGAAAGGAAAAAAAGGAAAAGAAAAAAAAGGAAAGAAAGAAGCCCATTTAGAAGACGGGGGAATGCTATTGTAAGGTTATATGATTACTGGGTAAGAGAGAAAGAAAGAAAGAAGAAAGAAAGAAAGAAAAGAAGAAAGAAAGAAAGAAGCAAGCCCATTTAGAAGACGGAGGAATGGTATTGTAGGGTTATATAATTACTGGGTAAGAGAGAAAGAAAAAGAAGGAAAGAAAAAAAGAAAGAGAAAAGAAAGAAAGAAAGATGGCCACCACTGAATCTCTCTCCCTCCATCCTGCTCTCTCTTTAATACAAACAACCAAAGTAAAAGCAAACTTGACTCACGCACCCATCTCTGAAATAAAGTTGCAGAAAAATCTCAGAAACGGCTTTGATTAAGGGAGCCGCAGAGTTCGCCAGCCCTCCAGCTCTTGGGATCAAAGGACCATCGCCTTACCCACCCCGAGACTTTTATCTCTGCTTCAATGGTGGTTCTACTCTTTGTGGTGAAAGCTTCCCACGAACCAGGAGCAGCTGAAGAAAGTAACGAGGAAGATGAAAACAAGGTTTTTCATCATTTGTATACAAATATCCTAGCCGCCTTTTGACACGGCATCCTGAGCTCGTTCATTTGCGGTGTGCAAACATCGCTCAGTTTTGGACTCCCCTGGATCAGCCCTGGATTCAGTGGTGGGTTTCAAATTTTTTTACTACCGGTTCTGTGGGCGTGGCTTGGTGGGCGTGGCAGGGGAAGGATACTGTAAAATCCCCATTTCCTCCCGATCAGCTGGGACTCGGGAGGCAGAGAATAGATGGGGGTGGGGCCAGTCAGAATTTTTACTACCGGTTCTCCGAACTGCTCAAAATTTCCGCTACCGGTTCGCCAGAACTGGTCAGAACCTGCTGAAACCCACTTCTGCCTGGATTGCTTTAGCATCCATGGATTGGGATGCTACGCAACCGAATATACTCAACATCAGGCCAATGAAACCCATACACGGCTAACGCTAAGCAAGCATCGCTTGTGAGTACAGGAAGTCCTCGACTTATGATCACAACAGAGCCCAACATTTCCATTGCAAAGCCACTCGGTTGTTAAGTGAGTTTTGCCCCCATTTTACAAACGTTCTTGTTAAATTAGTAACACGGTTGTTAAGGGAATCTGACTCTTCCATTGACTTGGCTTGTCAGGAGATCCCAAAAGGGGATCACGTGATCCCCCCCAGGACTGCCTGTAATTTGATGC